CGTTAGGTCATCTGGTGAGAATATCTGTGGTTGGGGGCAGCTATTTTGAGGTACGCTGCTCTTGACCTTATCTACCCTCTCTGACACTTCTTACCGTGAGGATGTGTGTTATGTCTTGAGAGTCCTCTCATGTGAGGAGTCGAGTGCGCTCAACCTTGAAAGTCGGCATTGTTCACGTGGAGCATCTGGAAGGAGAGGGCGTTGCCATCTGAAGGGCCCTGGACGAAGCACTGGGTCACGGTCACCATGCCAACCCACCGGGAGTAGAGCAAGCATGCTTTGTTGCTTTTGTCCCTTGAGGGAGACGAGTGCCGGACCATCTGAAAAGAACCTCCGGCAGGGAAACGGACTCGCATCGTGTGCAAGGATAAAGAAAGCACGAATGGGACTGGCCATAGCTCATGACTAGGGGCACAGGGGTGGGTCGTGCACACCTTCAGACACTTGCCCTATCTGGTTTGCTCAGGAACGCTGAAGTCAAGAGACTTCAAGAAGAATTCGGGAAGGAGTGGATTTCAGGTGATAGTTCGTTGTCAATTCCATTTTGTAAACATCCATGCAAGCAATTCTATTAATTAGATGTGATTGCCGTTAACACATCTGAGAGACAGCATAGGTAGAACAATCTGTTTTTCCGCATTTGCTTTCTGTTTGAGAACAAGTCAGATTAAATAGAGTTGTTTGTAGGAATCTGGACTTACCTGTTAAACCCAACTGTGTATCCTCTGATATTGCCACCGATGAATTATTTTCGGTTTGACCACTAAGCTGCGGTAGGCAACAGAGAGTGTCCTAGTGCAGACTGTGTACAGTGCTGTAGCATATGAGCGACGGAGAGTACATTGACCCGGACGGTCGGATCTTACGTTCATCAAGCCGAAGATTCCCATTGGTTCACGTGGCTTTACGAGCCGAGGGTGATCGTTTTCTGTGTCCGGTCCTGGACGTCCGGAAAGCAGGCCCCAGCCGCCCCCAAAAAAAAAAGGGGGGGCTGCCCAGGACATTTTTGAGGTCCAGGGCGCCCCCTGAAAAATACGGGGCCAATTTTTCTTTTTCTTTTTCGGCCTATAGAACAGGAGTGGAAGGCCCGGACACAGCTTACTGAGGTGGGGTCGCTAGGCGTTCACAGCACCTCGTTTTCAAATTTCCCTCCCACCGCTGCTGCCAGTTTCCGGAGCGGGCCACGTCCTCCCTTCATCCATTGGAATCCACCCTGCCGCCCAGCAGCCATCGTCGAGAGCAGCAGCGGCAAGGAGTTGCAGCCAGCCAGCAGGTCAGTCTCTCTCTCTCTCTCTCTCTCTCTCTCTCTCTCTCTCTCTCTCTCTCTCTCTCTCTCTCTCTCTC